GTCCCGTTCGAACCCCCTCATGTAAGCCTCCCTGCAAGACATCTTACGCAACTCGGGGGGGGCGCGGCCAAGGGGGAGCGTGTGCCCTCTATTGTCCACGGTCGTCATCTGGTTTTCCGCCCTCCGGCCGAGCCCGAGCAAAGAGAGGCGGGGGGCCGAGAGGGGGCCCTCTGACAGCAGGCCGCGTGACCTCAGGCCGAGCGAGCACAGGGGCCCCAGGGCGAGCGCAGCACCCCTGGCAGCAGCGACCCTCCGAAGACCCTGGCCCGGGTGGTCCCCGCGCTTCCCTGCCCCGCCGCAGGACGGGGGGGGGGGGCACGCGCAGCCCGCCCACGGGTGGGGGTGGGGCTTCCGGCAGGGTGCTGGCAGCAGTGAGGCGTCTTGCTCTCGGCGAGCGGGCGGGCAGTGGCCGAAGGTCACCACCCACCAAACCACCCCAACCCAACCCGAAGGCTCAGATTTACCCTCGATTTCCAGTGGGGGGGTCGGGAAACATCGACAAAAACACGTGTGGAACTCTTACCCCCCCCAACCCGAAATTCGGGTCTTCGGGTTGGGTTGGGGTGGTCTGGTAGGTAGTCAGAAGGCCCGACGACGCACGAGCACGAGCTGTCGACCGCTCGCTGCCAGGATCTCGGCGCCACGGGCTCCCCTCGCGAGTGGCACAGGTCCTGAGGGCGGCCCGACCTGCTGGCCCCGATGGCCTCCTGGTTCGCCTGGCCTTCCTGCACACCAGGGCCGTCAGAGCTTTCTCATCTTCGCACAGCGGCCTGACACTCTGGCCGAGCGGCCGGCTGAGACGTCCACGCCTAGGTTGACCGTCAAGTCTAGCACGCGGCCCCCAGCTGGCCAAGAGCACTCGAACTAGCTTGCGCAAGCTTCTTGGCCGATGCGACCGTGCACACCTTTTCAAGAGCTAACTGGCAGTGCACATCTTCAGTGATCAAGAGATGCAACACGACTGGCGTAGAGGTCCATTGACGCACCACCTGCTTGTGACTGCCCGTGCTGGAGACCCCCTGTTGTCGTCAATACAGGCGTCAATCTGAAGCTGCTTATACTTAGGCAGCGCATCAAACGCTTCCAAAGCAAAGACACGGATGTTCGTCGTGGCGAATTTGCACAAAGCAATCACCCCATTGACAAACACATGAAGGCCCGTCGCGCAGACCAGCAACCGAAATGAATTGCCCACACCTGTAAGCATATACAGACCCTTGAGAGCACTTGGGGGACATGGTGCCTCTTGCACCTGTCTTCTAACATGTCGAGGTTGACCATTCCATAGTACTTGAGCATGTCGTACAAACAACGCTCGCACTGCACTCCTTGCGGGCCCTGCCCGCCTCAGCACGCAGCGTCTGGCGCCAGACGACGTCCGACGTGCCTCGATAAGCCCTTGCCGCCCAGGAGGATGAGGATGATGATGAGGATGAGGATGCTGATGATGCTGATGCTGATGATGCTGATGATGCTGATTCTTATGATGATGCTCATGATGAGGATGATGATGATGATGCTGATGATAAGGATGCTGCTGCTGATGATGATCATTATGCCGATGATACTGCTGCTGATGATGATACCAGTTATGATGATGATACTGATGATGCTCTTGATGAGGATGACTATGATGCTGATGATGCTGCTGATGATGATACGGATGATGATTCTGATGACGATGGTGATGATGATGCTGATTCTGCTGATGATGATGCTAATGCTAATGCTGATGCAGATGCTGATGGTGATGAGGAAGATGATGATGCTGATGATGATGGTGGTGATGATGATGATGATGATGATGATGATGATGATGATGATGATGATGATGATGATGATGATGATGATGGTGATGATGATGATGATGATGATGATGATGATGATGATGATGATGATGACGATGATGATGATGATGATGATGATGATGATGATGATGATGATGATGATGATGATGATGATGATGATGGATGATGATGATGATGATGGAAAGAGGTGTTCTACCGCTGCTGGCGGAAAAAACTGGGGGGGGGCACTAACGGTTCGAACCCCTCCCCCCCCCCTCGTGGAAAACCGGGGGGGGGTCACCAGTTCGAACCCCCCCCCAGTTCATCATGAAAAGGGGGGGGGTCACTACCGGTTCGAACCCCCCCCCCCCCTCGAACTCGAAAACCGGGGGGGGTCACTACCGGTTCGAACCCCCCCCCCTCGAAAACCGAAGGGGGTGCGGACAGTGGTGGGGACGGTGGTGGTGGGGACAGTGGTGAGGGGACAGCGGGACAGTGGTGGGGACAGTGGGACAGTGGTGGGGACGGTAGTGGTGGGGACAATGGTGAGGACAATGGTGGGAACAGTGGGGACAGTGGGACAGTGGTGGGGACGGTGGTGGTGGGGACAGTGGTGTGGGGACAGTGGGAATGTGGTGGAAACAGTAGGACAGTGGAGGGTACAGTGGTGGTGGGGACAGTGGTGAAGGCGGTGGCGAGGACGGCGGTGGGACAATGGGGCAGAGGTACAGTGGGGACAGTGGTGGGGACAGTGGGGACAGTGGTGGGAACAGTGGGACAGCTCAGTGGGACAGCGGAGGAGTCAGTGGGACAGTGGGGACAGTGGGGATAGTCGTGGAGAAAGTTGGGAGAGTGGAGCCGTGGTGGGAACAGTGGTGGGGACAGTGGGGGACAGTGCGACAGTGGTGGTGGCACTGGTGGGGACAGTAGGGGCGGTGGTGGAACCAGTGGGGACAGTGGTGGTGAGGACAGTGGTGCTGGGAACAACAGTGGGGGATGTGGTGAGGACGGTGGTAGGGACCGGGAGTCGTTTGCTGGCGGTGAGGGGGGGGTGGGGAGGGGTTCGAACCGGTAGTGAACCCCCTCCGGTTCTGGGGGGGGGGTTGGGGGGTTTCTAAAACCTAGTGACCCCCCCCTTTTTCGAGTTTGAGGGGGGGGTTTTGGTTAGGGAGGTTTTTTTTTTTTTTTTTTTTTTTTTTTTTGTTTTTTTTTTTTTTTTTTTTTTTTTTTTTTTTTTTTGTTTTTTTTTTTTTTTTTTTTTTTTTTTTTTTTTTTTTTTTGTGTGTTTTTTTTTTTTTTTTTTTTTTTTTTTTTTTTTTGTTTTTTTTTTTTTTTTTTGTTTTTTTCCCGGGGAAGGGGGAGGGGTTCCAGCAGGGGGGGGGGGGGGATTTCGGGGGGGGGGGGGAGACCCCCGGGTTCTGGAGGAAAAGGTTGGCAATTTTCCACAGTAAAGCGGCGGTGGATCACGCTCTCTCTGATGATGATGATGATGATGATGATGATGATGATGATGATGATGATGATGATGATGATGATGATGATGATGATGATGATGATGATGATGATGATGATGATGATGATGATGATGATGATGATGATGATGTGATGGTGATGGTGATGGTGATGGTGATGATGATGATGATGATGATGCTGGATTGATGATGATGATGATGATGATGCGTGATGGTGGTGGTGGGGTCGGGTGGTGATGATGATGAGATGGTGGTGGTGGTGGTGATGGTGAGGGTGATGATGCTGATGCTGATGCTGATGATGATGATGAGATGATGATGATGATGATGATGATGACGATGAGGATTATGATGGTGATGGTGATCATGATGGTGGTGATGGTGCTGATGATGCTGCTGATGATGCGCTGATGATGGATGCTGCTGATGATGAGGGAGGAGGATACTGTTGTTGATTGATGATGCTGATGGTGATGCTGATGCTGATGATTGATGATTGATGATGATGATGATGATGATGATGATGATGATGATGATGATGATGATGATGATGATGATGATGATGATGATGATGATGATGCTGCTGCTGATGACGCTTATGCTGCTGCTGCTGAGGAGGAGGAGGAGGAGGAGGATGACGAGGAGGAGGGATGAGGAGGGTGATGACTCGAGGATCTATGATCGACTTTTTTGGCTGTTGCGAAGAACGAGGTTACAGTATCCACTAACGGGGCCCTCTCTTGGTCCTCTAGACGCACTCGGAGTTTCTCGGGGGAACAGGGACGGGGGGCGAGGGGGCAGGGACAAGTAGGAGAGGGACGGGGAAGGATGGGGAGATGGGGAGAAGAGGCGAAGGCGGGCGAGCGAGCGAATGGGAAGGGCGAGGGGGGAGAATGGGAGGGGGCGGGGGCAGGGAACGAACGGCGCACGGGTCCAGGCCTCCTAAATGTGTTCCGAGTGGAACTCCAAACTCCAGGCTGCAAGTGGAAATTGTGCAGTGTGAGATGAATCATTTCAGTTCGCTCTGCAGTCGAATACTGCAGGTTCGTGCCGTGTCCATGTGGGAACCCCGCCGCGGGCGTTCAAGTTTGAGCACCGCTGGTGGGGACGAGAAGTCGGCCAATCCAGAGCGATCCCACGTTCGAAACGCCGCTGATCGTTCAAGGTTGAACTATCCACGCTGTGTCAGGAACTAAATGTCAAGTTCTTTTCGACAGGGACCAACCGTGGGTGAATCAGCGCGTCCGCCCTCTCATCTGAATCAGCACACCCGCCCTCTCCTCCCACTTTGAAGCCCAAACGGCGGCGGGGGGAGGACCCAACGCAGGGTGAGAGCAGAGAGCAGACGCATCAGCTGGCTATAGACCAGACGAGCGTCTCGACATGAATTGCTGCCTTCTTCTCCCCAGAGAGAAGCGTATCGATATGAGTCTTTATTTTCTATCCTTGAAGAGTCGTCTCGATAAGAGCTTACGCTCCCAACCCATAGTTTCACACCCCTCCCTCATCCCGTCCCTCTCCAGTTCCTCCCGCTCGTCCCGCTCCTGCATCTCTCCTCCTTTCCCTCCTCCTTTCCCTGCTTCTTGCGACTCCCTTCCCGCTGCTGCTCCTGCTGTTGCCGCTTCTCCTCCTCTCTCCTGGTGCTACCCCCCACCTCTTGGCCCCTCTGCTCGTAAAATGCGCGGCGTGCCCAGCGTGCTCGCTAAGTCGTCGGTGAGGGTTGGCTTCGCTGTGACCCCAGGACGTATTGGCCAAGGTCAACACAATCGCTCAAGGTCGTGGGGTGGTGAGTGCAGGAGGAGAAGTTGGTGGGTAGGCGTGTGGGAGGAGGAGGAGCCGGAGGAGCATGTGGAGGAGATGGAGGAGGAAAGAGAGGAGAGAGGCAAGCCACGTAGGTGCGCGCGCCATACCTGACATCGTACAACAGAAAACACAGGTCCACATGTAGTACTCATGTTGAGTAGTTGCAGCGAGGAGAGGGGAGGATCAGGAGGATGGGCAACCGAGGTGGGCGGAGGTGGAGGGTCAGTAGCGAAAGCAGCGCGCGGGGCCGGAGCGATTGAGCGACGGTGGGATCGAGGGAGGGAAGCAAGGCATGAGCATGTAATGGCGGGAGGGACGTGAGGCAGGGAATGAAACCAGGGGCGAGGAAGGAGGGACAGGGAAACATTTGGATCGGCACTGATGGGAGGAGAGGGAGAGGGAGAGAACTAGAGGAACACAGTGAGAAAGAGAGAGAGAGGGAGAAGGGAGATGGCATATCAACTTTGACAGATGTGTGTGTGTGTGTGTGTGGGTGAAGGGATAGCCATAGCGATGCATGTATGTATGTATGTATGTATGTATGTATGTATGAATGTATGTATGTATGTATGTATGTATGTATGTATGTATGTATGTACGTGTGTATGTATGTATGATGCGTGTATGCATGCATGCATCTATGTAATTCTATATGCATGTATGCATGCATGCATGCATGTGTTTATTTAGATATGTATGCGGACATGTATGTATGTATGCATGTAGACACATCGGTATTTACGGATGTACGTATGTGCGTATGTGTGACTATGTATATACATATGCATGCATACATGCATGTATGCTTGCATGTATGTATGCATGTATGTACGTATGTATGTATGTATACGTGCATTTACGTATGTGTGCATGCATGCGTGCGTATGCATGCATGTATGCATGTTAGTGAAATGCATGCATGCATGCATGCATGCATGCATGCATCATGCTTGCATGTGTGTATGCACGTGTGTTTGCATGCATGCATGCATGCATGTGGGCATGTATGTATGTATCATGTATGTATGTATGTATGTATGCATGCATGCATGTATGTATGCATGTATGTATGTATGCATGTACGTACACACATGCAGATAACCTTTTTGCGTATGTACGTTTGCATTCACGTGCGTATGCATGCATGTCCGCACGTATGTATGTATGTATGCATGCATTTATGCATGCATGTATGCATGTGTGTATGTACTGTGTGTGTATGCATGCATGCATGCATATCTGGTTTTGTAATGCATGTATGTATGCATGCATGCATGCATGCATGAATGCATCATGCATGCATGTGTGCATGCACGTGTGTTTACATGCACAGGTGTTCATATATGTATGTATGCATGTATGTATGTATGTATGCACGCACACACATAGAGATGCATACGTAAGTACGTTTGCCGGCACGTGCATGCTAACGAGTATACACACACATATATGTATACGTATGCGCGTATGCATGCATCCATGCATGCATGCATGTGCGCACGCATGTATGTATGTATGTATGTGTTTATGTACAATGTGCGTATGTATGCAGGTCTGTTTTCATGCATGCATACATGCATGCATACATATAGTCATTCATGCACACATGCATACGCACATGCATGCATGCATGCATGCATGCATGCATGCACTGATGTATGTGTGTTTGTATTCATGTATGTAGGTATTCATGCATGCATGCATGTACGTATGTTTGTATGTGTGTGTGTGTCTGTCTGACTGGCTGCCTGCCTGTCTGCCTGTCTGTCTGTCTGTCTGTCTGTCTGTCTGTATGTATGTATGTATGTATGTTTGCATTCATGCATGTATGAAGGCATGTGTGTATGTATGGATGCATGGATGGATGCATGTATGTATGTATGTATGTATGCATGCATGTATGCATGTATGTATGTATGTACGTATGTATGTATTGTGGTATGCCGGTACGTCTGTCTGTCCGTCTGTCTGTCCGTCTGTCTGTCTGTATGTATGTATGTATCAGATACGGAAAAGTACATAATGTTGGGAAGGCCGTACGGCAAGTACCGCCGACGCTGAAGAGGGACGACGATTACGACGGCGGGACGGCGGCGACGACCACGCTGACATGGGGCAGAGTCCTCAGGGATGCTTCGTGGGGCCTCTTTGCAGAGCGCTCGTAGGCTTCTGGGGGGCAGTTTTGGTGCCTCTTGGGAGCATCTTGGGGGCCTCTTGGGAGCCTCTTAGGAGGAGGAGGAGGAGGAGGAGGAGGAGGAGGTTGACGAGGCCAGGCCCCACCCCTCGCCCCCACCCTGAAAGGTGTCGTCCTGAGAGACCTGGCCGTGGAAGGGCGTCGGCTCCTTGTGGCCAACACGCACCTCTTCTATCTGGGCGGGCCTGCGCCACGAATTTTCCAAACTCCCCCGCGGAGTTTTTGGCGGGGCGGCGTATGGGTGGCAGACTGAGGAAAAGAAGAAGGAGGAAGAGGAGGGGTAGGCGCGAGGAGGAGGAGGAGGAGGAGGAGGAGGAGGAGGAGGAGGAGGAGGAGGGGGAGGAGGAGGAGGAGGAGGAGGGGGGGTTAGGCGCGAGGATGATAAGGAGGAGGAGAATGAGGAGGAGGAGGAGGAGGAGGAGGACCAGTGTAAAATCAAGACTCATCAACCATGTTGGGATAAACCTTCCCTCCAAGCTTCCTCTTTATGGTCCCCTACAAGGGTTCATGCCCACTCAGCGAAGTGCCCCGTTAGGAGACAACCGTTGGAAGATCCTGAAGCGGGGCAAAACGCCATTCTCGGAATTTCAATGCCACGAGTCAACTTGACTGTTACGTCTTGACGATCCTGATTCGTGCCAGAACGCCATTCCTGGAATCTCACCGCCTCGAATTAACGTAATTGTTGCGCCCCGAAAATCTGGAATCGTTCCTAACGTTCATTTCTGTTACGCTAACCATAGGAAGCCGTGAAACTCTTGCAATTTCTTAAGACGTATGTGCGCGGCGCTACAGCGAGAGCCACGTGTTCAAAAATGAATTGCCATCAATCCGTTTGCAGCAAGTTTCTCAGACGAGTGTGCGTGGCGCTAAGGCGAGATTGAAAACCACCCGCCCTCAATCCATGACACTCCTGTACTATGTAGTACATTAATGTGCGCGACGCCAAGGAGAGGGCCACATTTTGAAAATCACCCGCCCTCACTCCGTGAACCTGTTGCAATTAAGATGCCAAGTGTGCGCGGCGCTAAGGCGAGAGTCATTGTATTTTTTGACGAATGTGCGTGGCGCTTATGCGAGAGCCGCATTTTGAAAGTCACCCGTTTTCCATCAGCTAAACTGTTGCACATTTCACGCTTGAGGATCTTGGGTGGTGAGAATGTCTCGGGCGAAACGCCTGGCCCGCCTTGCCGACTGGCTTCTGGGTGCGACAGGCGGGAGTTATTCTAAGGGAAAGGGGTGGATAGGAAGTTCATTTCCCCTCCTCATGAGGAGGGGTAGGGGAGAGGAGGAGGAGGAGGAGGAGGAGGAGGAGGAGGAGGAAAAAGAGGAGGAGGAGGAAGAGGAGGAGGAGGAGGAAGGTGAGGAGTAGGAAGATGAGGAGGAGAAGGAGGAGAAGGAGGCGAAGGATGAGAGGCTGGGAGTGGGGCAGGGGTTGGCGGGGAGATGGAACGGGGGAAGGAGGCGTAGTGAAAGGTGATTGAGGGTTTTGGCAGTGTCTCGCCTCATATTCATTTTTGATGGTCCTGCGTCCCGAAGACGGCCCCCCTTGCGACAAAATGGATGAACAAATGTTAGAATCTGACATTCTTATCGCCGAAGATCTTGGGGCCTTTCGCATCTGTTTCTTCGGGCCTTCTCTTCGAACATCTGGCGCTCCCATTTTTTGTCGATGCGTGTCTCCCCCCCCCGTACCCGATGTCTCGATCTGCTCCCTAGGACCGGTTTTTCATCCCATGCTGTTTCTCGACCGTGCCGACGCCGAGAAGCAGCCCATGGAGGTCGACCATGGGACACGACCAGCCGGGAGGAGGAGGAGGAGGAGGAGGAGGGGGAGGAGGAGGAGGAGGAGGAGGAAGAGGAGGAGGAGGAGGAGGGGGAGGAGGAGGAGGAGGAGGGGGAGGAGAAGGAGGAGGAGGAGATGGCCAGCCGCCCCAGTTCGATGTTCGAAGCCTTGGGCTTGGTCCGCCGTCGGGGCCGGCGGGCGGACCATCCCAGCGCGAACCACATCCGGCTCCTGCAGCTGCACGCGCTGCTCACCGAGCTCGCCCGGCGCGCGGCGCTGGCCGAGGCCATCGCGCTGTTTGGGATCCTGGGGTGGAGCCAGGGGGAGGGATGGAGGGGAGGAGGAGGAAGGGGGGGAGAGCGGGGGGAGGCATCGAGGGAGGAGGAGGAGGAAGAGGGTGATGGTGATGGTGCTGAGTGATGGGGATGGGGATGGTGATGTCGATCGTGATGGTGGTGCTGATGGTGGTGGTGGTGGTGGTGGTCATGATGATGGTGGTGATTAGGATCATACTTGTGTTCATGGTTCAGACGATGAGATAGTACTGATGATATGATGGATGTGGTGGTGAGTGATGATGATGGTGATGGTGATGGTGATGATGCTGATGCTGATCATGCTGAGGATGATGAGGAGGAGGAAGAAGAGGAGGAGAGGCGCCCGTTCTTGGTGGGGGGAGAGGACAGGGGGGCGAGGGGAGGGGTTCCGACGTCCAGCGTCTTGTAATAATCAAGAAGGAGGTGTTCTCCGGTAGCCCCCCGAGGCCTCCTATTCTTATCAGTAGTGGTATCGTCACCAGTCGTAAAAATTTTAGTCGTAATTGTAGTCGTCTCGTCGTCGTCGTCGTCGTCGTCGGCGGCGGCGGCTGCGTAGTAGTAGTCGTCGTCGTCGTCGTCATCGTAGTAGTAGTCGTCGTAGAAGTGGTAGTAGTAGTAGCAACAGTAGTAATAGTAGTAGTAGTAGTAGTAGTAGTAGTAGTAGTAGTAGTAGTA